CAATTGTAATCACATGACTTCGAAACTTGAGTTTTATAGCTTCCTTTGTCCTATTACATGTATTGTCTGTCAGCTGATTCGATAAACAAAGCTTCTGTTATCCATCTCTCGCTCCACCTAGCTGTGACATTAGATTTTAAAATTGTCATCTTATCGCATGATTCATTTCATCGTTTAGGTTTTTTCTTTCTGTGCCACTTAGTGCTATTGCTCGGTTTGTTAGACATTTAACTAAGCCTGCCAGCCCTTACAGACGACGACGAAGGGATGAGGCGACGAATTAAAGAGGTCTAAATATCTATCAGCAGAATGCGTTGGTTTTTTATAAACGCTAGTGTGCAGTTAACCTTCTTCTATTCGTTTTATTTTACAATCTAACATAGCTAATTCTCCCCGTTTAATTTTCCGATTCAAATGTGAATTTTATCCCCTCTACTAGTGAGTTTATATGTGGAGAGAAGTTTGGACGAGATTGTGGAATGAAACGGTGGAATTATTCATTCCAAATTCGTTGAGATTTTGCAAATATAATTTTTACAAATGTGGACTGCAGAAGTTGAAGTATCATAACCAAGGTCAGTCAGTGTCTTTCAAAAGTTGACCTTCAAGAACCAATCAAATGTGGGGAGTGCTATGGAAGGTCATTCCAAATCAAATTATGTCTGCCTTTCTGAACTTGGAGAAGGCAAATACAATATTCCACTTATTCTCAAGGTACTTTATCTGTAAATCTATACTGTTAGGTTAGGTTATGACTTTTTAGACTGACGTTTAGGGTTTGAGGTTAAGCTAAGGTTTAGAGTTTAATTTTAGGATTTGGGGTTACAGTTAGAAGTAGGCCAAAGAACAGTGTCAGAAATACCAGTAGATCTCAAAGTATCATGACCTATACAGTCACCAGGATGAATACATCTGTCGCGCATGGTATGATTTCTCTTTAGATCATCCGTGTAGGGACTTGGAGGAATTCGTACAACGCCTAAACAAAACTACTATGTGGTATAATACCACATTTGCAATATTTTTCAGTACATTTTTCAACAGTTAAGCAACTTTTTTGCATCTGAATTCTGATTGGTTGTTCAAGTTCACTGTTGTTTGGGCTATCATAGTTTATCTAACTTTGCCAACAGACTTTATTCACGGATTTCATGATGTTGGATCAACTGAATTCTCGCTAATGAATTTCATATCATCTAGGAATGAAATTCACAAAATAGATTTCACTCTGTTTACAATTCAGAGACTCAGTAAGTTCATTCTGTATTTTCTATAGTTGGTTTGTAAGGATTAGTTTTGATTTTTACGAGTTTGATCACGGATTGATATCAGTTATAGAACCATTGAAAATCAACCACAGGGAGTACTGGACAGCTGTTTCCTCCATCCTAGTTTGAGAATCATCGACAGTACGCACCCACACACACACACACACACCAGGGTTTGAATCCAGTAACTTCCAGATACAAGGCTCGCTGGCTTGTATACCATTCAGCCACTGGGACCCGACCCTATTCAATGGCCAGCCCCCTTGAATTCTAACTTCTACCAATTTGTGATTTTACCACGACTAACACTAACCGGTGTAGTCGGTGGGATATCATTCATTATTGTAATCAATATTTCTATACCCCCCTGACAATAGATTACTCAACTAGTAGAGAAAGATACAATGAGCAACAGGGAGAGAGAGGGGGGGAAACACGAGAGAAAAATCAATAATTCCTTTTTTTACTTAAAATAAAACATTCTATCAAGGGAATAGATTATTGTTTATAAATGTATATATCGATGTATATTTATTATTACTATTATTATTCCCCTGGGGTTCCTAGTGGAAGACAGTCCTTCAGTAGGATATCTCCACTTGTCGGTACATGGATGATACATTTTTTCACTATGAAAAATGAGGATGAAGTAAATAACATCCTGGACAAATTTAACAAGGTTTATCCTACAACAAATTTTACCATCAAGAAAGAAAGAGATTCTGGCATTTTTTCATTCCTAGACGTTCTAATGACCAGAAAGGAGGACGGTAAAATAATACGAAGCAGTGTATATCGAAAACCTACATCAACTGACTGTCAGTATACTTACTTTCTTAGCTTCGTGTCCTAGAAATATAAACGGAATCTGATAAAGTACTTGGTTCACAGAGCAAGAGCAATCTGCTCGGATGAATGTCCAGATGAGGAACTTAATAATATTAAACGGTTTCTGAGTGAAAATAGTTATCCAGAGAAGTTCATTGATAAGAATATGATTCAAAAATCAGTGTAGCTCACGATACCAACAGTAACTAAAAATGCCTTATTCTTACAAATGCAGTTCTTTGGCAATAACATTAGCGAGACATTAAAAAAGGTCCAAATAATACGGTGAAAGGAGCATTCCCTGTTGCATACCTGCTTATTTGTTGCACAATCGGTTCCTGCTGTGTTGGTTGGTTCGCTCATTGCCAGAGATCCCTCCCGGTAGCTGATCTTTTCTGGCCGGCCATCTGATCTTGAGTGGTATTCAGGGAAGACAGCTAGGTGTTGATGAAGGTGTGCAGTTTGTTTGAGGTACTGTTTATGACGCGCTGGCCAAGTCTCTGATCCATCCGTATAGTTAGTAACACTGACTGACTTCACATTCGAGTTGAAAATCCGGATGTTATTTTGATTTTCATGCTGAGTATTTCTGTTGATCTCCTCCACACAGACTTGAGAGAAATGAAAGCTTTTCTTGCTTTCCCGTTGATCCTTACTGTTTTGATATCCTCGTCAGTTCCATCCACCTGTAGTTGAAACGATGCTTCCCAGATGGGTAGTTGGGTATGTAAAAGAGGTTGTTTCTTTCAGGTTCCTCCCATTCATGCTGGTTGATTGTTGTCTGTTGTTGTTGGAGTGGCTGTTGGTGTTGGTATTGACCAGGAATCTTCATCACCTACCTATGTTTTCTCTATGTTCAACTGAAGGAAGTCCTATCTTCTCTGGATGCTTGTTGTGCCAACTTGTTGCTTTTCACTTGAATATCTTCCAGTTTGTGGGAAATCAAGCATGTATGGTCTGTGAAGTCCAGATCCTCAAAGTTTTTCGTGAGGGTTCATTTAATGCGTGTTTCCTCGCTGCCCGCTGTTGCAAGACACGGAAGCTAAGGTATATTTTCAAGTGATCATACCGAGTTACGGAGCTTACTGACTTCCATCTGCTAATCTTTTTTGCATTTCTGTGATAGTATATACGTGACCTCGTCTCACACTGTGACCATGTATGGTCCTTTCCATATTGGAGGCAGTTCGCGTGACGCTGTCACGTAATCGCAGATTTTTCGACACACACCATCATATGCTACCGTCGCCCAACTTCTTAGCGGCGTTCCAAGTAACAGTCTCTTCGCTGATGGATCTTGAACGCCACTCAATTGTGCATCAGCCTCGAAGTCTTGCCAGGAGATCCATAGGTCTTCATGAAAAACTGCAGGACATAAGCCTTCCATTTGTCGGTAGGCAGTGACACCAAATGTAACAACAGAAGGCAAGATATGGAAGCGTTTATAGAAAACCAACGCATTCTGCTGATAGATATTTAGACTTTAATCCATCTCATCCCTTAACTGTTAAGGCAGGCGTAGTTAAATGTTTAACAAACCGAGCAGTGGCACTAAGTAGCACAAAAAAACCTAGACGATGAAATGAAAGAGATAGAAGAAGAGCTGGCTGGTGTTAAATAACTAACTATCCTATAAAATTCATTAGGAAGATCGATAAAGGCCAAAGGAAAAATAGAAATAATTATAGAACTAGTAGTGATAACATAAATAAGAGAGAATATAAGTCATCCACAGTTATACCATATAAAGAGGGGGCATCTGAGACCCTCCCTACGTAGGATTCTTAATAAAGCAGGAATTATAGTGTCATTCAAACCTACAAACTCACTCAGAGACAAGCTCTGTAGGTTAAAGGACCCAGTTGACCTAATTAGACAAAATAATACAATTTACAAAATACCCTGCAATGACTGTGAGTTAAGTCAACTACATAGGTCAAACTAGTAGGTCAGGGATAATCAGATTGTTAGAACATAAGAATTTAGCTAATGGAAGAATGATTGACCCAGAGATGATAAGTAATTTAGAAGAAAGCTCAGAAATTGTACTTCACGCATTAACACACAACCATAGAATAGAGTGGTGGGAGAAGGTTAAGATTCTAAAAAGTTATCTATGTAGGTGGAGAGAGAGAGATTAATCACTGAATCCTGACTGGTTCATCGAGTCTACACCCAACACAACACATGCACGATAGAAGTGACTCAATGCAAATACCAGAGATATGCATGGAAGATATTATTACCACCAGTCAGTGAGTCAGTCATTCAAATCAGAGGAGGATAATAAATAATCTCAAAATTCTATTTCAATTCAATTCACGTACATCACAACATTCTAACAAGTTACTTATTTATATTGACTATAAAAACACTCGTCTTATTTCCCATCTGATTGTAATTGATCAATAGCACTCGTATTATTATTTCTGAATGTACACTATCTCATATTGATTTTTATTCCAATATCTATTGGACTCCACAAATATATGTAAATGAAGGAAAAAGTTATATGAGTGGTGACTTTATATGATTATGAGTGCGTCGGTGGCACAGTGGTAAGGACTCTCGCCCATCATGCAGATGGTCCGAGGTTCGATCCCCTGCCGACGAAGCACACCTGATATCTATGGTCGGCCTGCAAAATTTGGGCTACCGATATCCATGCTGAAAATTCCACACTAGTACCAAAAATACGGTGTGGCATCAAGCTGTAAATCCAAAAAATAAATAAATAAATTATTATTATATAAGCTTTATTCCAAATCAGTACTTGTGATACAGAATGGAATTCTCAGCATTTTACTACAATATTGCATCCAGTTTTTACATTAACAATAAATAAAGTTCTACATAGATTAAAGATTATCTCAACAACATATTAGTATGTCGGTAGCAAAGCCAAAATTAAAATGTTTGAAGGTGTTACAAAAGTAGATACTACTAGCATATTTACTGGCGTAAGCGATAGCAAAATGGTCGAGATATACAGAGTGTAAAAGAACAACAAGAATGTTTTAAGTAGAGTTTGCAAGGAAGAGAAAAACAAAACAGCACTTAACAAAAATAAAGACAAAAAAGGTAGAGAGAATGGAAAAGAGAGAAAACGTTGTACCTATAAATGATGTGAGTTGGAAAGACGAGATTCATTGGTTCTAGTGACTATTTAATAAGTTAAAGGTTTCATGCCTGATGCATTCTTTATCACACAGAACACGGGCTAGGTAGGGTATGGATGAGTTTTTGTACTTACTAGTGCGGGCATATAGTTTCCTATATAGACTTCTTGTTTTCCCTGAAGAGATACATGGGGAGAGTTGTGAGTGTAGAGGGTGTTGTGAGTCAGATAAAATGGACTTCGCCCATTTTTCACATGAGTCCATGTGCCTGTCCACCAGAATGTTAACAAGCTGGCTAAGTGGTAAACTGCTTACCCTGCTGACAACCTTTAACATCCTACGTAATAAGGTATAGTCTTTCTTCAATAGCCCAGGAAAGACTAAGGGGGAGCAATAGAGAATTATAGGCAGAATACGGGAGTTAACAAATTGTAGTAGTAAGGGTTGGGTTACACCAGAATGTCTTAACTTCTTGATGTAGAAGGTAAGACGGTATATTTTCTTGGAAATCGTCAAGATATGAGACGACCAGGAAAGATCAGAAGATAGAGTGACGCCTAGGTATTTAATTTCCGACTTAGTTTCTATTTCAGTGCCATCTATGTTGCACACCTCGTGAGTGCTAACCAGTTTGTTTAGGTCAGATTTATGCCTAAAGGTGAAATTAACTGTTTGGCATTTGGAGGGGTTTAAGGTTAGACCGTTTTCCTTGGACCATTGGCTAATTTCTGATAAGAAGCCATTTAGTTTAGAGCAGTCATTTTGACATTTGACAGGTAAAGATACAGTTAGGTCATCAGCATATTTGACAAAGTTAATATCATTTGAAGACGGTAGGTCATGTAGGAAGAATGAAAAGAGAAGTGGGGAGAGTACAGCACCTTGGGGGACACCAGCTTCAGTGAGCACAGCAGAGGAGGATTGACCTTTGTATACGGTGTACTGCATTCTGTTTGAAAAGTAGGAATGCAACCACTTAGTGACCCAAGACTCGGTTTGTGTCGTGGAGAGCTTATTTAGCAAGAGACTTCTAGGTACAGAGTCGAAAGCAGAAGTAAAGTCAAGAAACGTGCAGCGGACATATTTGGCACCTTTGTCTAATGATGAGACAATACTGTTGTGTAAGACGGCTGCAGCGTCTAAAGTACTCCTACCCTGTCTGTAGGCAAATTGTTTGGGGTCTTCGAAGCTTTTAAGGGAGGGTTCGAGTTTAAGAAGTATTAGTTTTTCCATGAGCTTTAGAAACGGGGAAGTGATGGCGATGGGTCTGAACTTTACGTTCTTGCTATTTCCAGGTTTAGGGACAGGGACTATTTTAATGTCTTTCCATGGAACAGGTACAACGTTTTCGGAGAAAGAAGCATTTAGGATATTAGTTAGAGGAGAACATAAAGCATCTGCACATTGTTTTAGGACATATGCAGGTATGCCATCAGGGCCAAGACTATGTGAGGGCTTAAGAGTTTTAAGACATTTCAAAACATCGAGAGTATTGAAGTCCTGGAAGTTATCAGCTACAAGATTGGTAACATTAGAAGTGGTTATAGTAGAAGGAGAGCGTATAAAAGACAGATTAAGAGCATTAACATCACAAGAGGGAAAAACATTACATCGCTTACTATTGCCAGTAATTTCATTGAAAAGTTTCCACATGCTGTTTGGAGATTTGCATGATAAAAGTGTTTGGTTATAGATAGCATTAAGATTTTTGATTTCAGATTTGATTTGAGCATTTATCTTTTTAAGTCCTAACTTGTCTTTGCATTTATATAACATTTCTTTTTGCCTGCGAAGTTGTTTGAGATGGGGAGACGAAAAGCGGTCGAGGCGTTTGAACAGTGTTTGTTTGGGACAGCATATGTCAAGGCAGAACTTGAGATAATCCATTATATTGGTGATTGAGTCATCTAATGTACTTTCATAGAATAGATCCCAGTTGGTATCTTTTAACATGCATCTTAGATTGAGTAAGTTGTCAGATGTGTAGCTTCTTTGTTGTGCCTTCGTGGACAGGTGTGAGAAGATTTTAATATGTGTTTTGCTGTATATTTTTGGCAAAACGCGGACAATGCAGTGATCGGAGTTATGTATCGGTGAACGTCTACGTGTTTCATATACTCCTTCATCATTGGTAAAAACCAAGTCAAGGGTTTTGTCAAGTCGAGTGGGAAATTTGACTATATTTGTGTGACCAAGAGCTTCAAGAAAGGAGCAATCTGATGTGTTGAAGTCTCCAGTAATAACGGATAGAGAGTTGTCGAAGTTGGCAGCAGCAAACATGGTGAATTCATCAGCAAAATTAGATAGATCAGATGGAGAGCAGCTAGGAGTTTATATTCTTTAACCAATTACTGAGTGTATGGTTTTGGTTTACATTAAGCGACATGAAATAGAATGTTCAAATAGATAAACCGTATTCTGTTCCCAACGCAATAGTGAACTGTGGGAATATTTGACGATCATATTCCGTTGCAACCCCGTTGTCTGTATCACACCACTACCACCACAATATCATTAAAAAGTGTCGTTCGATCTATTGGCATATACCGATCTCCTATGCTATTTGTTTTCGTTTCATCGTCTTCGAGAAATGCACAACAATGATGCAAACATGCCGTTGAATAGTATTATCAAGAGATATTCTTTTCCAAATCATGTGATCACCTCATCTTCAGGATTATCAACACGAATTTACAGCTAACTAACTGAATAAAAATCTCTACACTATTATTATTTGCTGTTGTCCATATTTTCATGTTTCTAGGTGGGTAGATGTCTATTCACCTAGATATAATCCCCTTTATAAAATAGCATATATCAGTCACTGAGATCTCTGAATTTTGTCGGTGTGTAGTTTAAAAATTCTGAATGTTTACATATGCGTGTCTAGGATATACACACACCTCCGCACATCCTCACGCACGCACACATTCTGGCCTTGATAATATCGATTTAAATCTCAGAAATCAGCTGATTGAAAGCAAAGAAAAAAAATAATAAAAACAAAGTCATTTTCTATCTAAAGAGTTTTGAAAGAAAAGAAGTACTATGTGGATTGCGAGTTGATCACGGATTGATATTAGTTAGAGAAGCATTGAAAACTAGCTGGTGGAGGACTGGACAGCTGTTTCCTACATCTTAGTTTGGGAATTATCGTCAGTATACACACACACACACTAGGGTTCGAACCCATAACCTTCCGGTTACAAGGCAGGTTGGCTCGTATACCATTCAGCCATCCCAAACTTGGATGAAACAGCTGTTCCGTACTCCCTGGTTTTCAATGGTTCTCTGGCTGATATCAATCCGTGATCAACTCGTAAAAACAAAACTAATCCTTACAAACCAACTATGGAAAATTAATGTGATGCTCGCTAGTAACTACTGGTTACAGGATGGAGGTTCCTGTAGTTCTAGTGAGAGGTCCATCCAGCCAAGTGTGAGGGTGGAGTTCCCATCGATGACATTGGTTGCTGCCAGTCGCTCTAAATCATGAATTAGTAGAAGTTGGAATTCATAAGCCACTGAAGATTTAATTGAAAACAATATTGTTAAATTGTATGTCTCGTTCTAATATTATTAATAGTAATATTTAAAGATTTGAAGTGTGAATTTGCGAATATAATAATATGAGGACAATACATATAATATAAAGTCAGAATTTTGTGTACAAAAACAGCTTAGCCGATTTCTTTCATTTCCATGGTTCTGATTTTATCATGCGATTCACATTTTTGATTTCACTTTAAGTTATCATGTTCTTACATTTTATCTTCAAATTTGATCACGGATTGATATCAACTGTTTGAATCAACCTATCTATAAGTTTGCATCTCTTGGAGACGAGAGAAAAGTATCATGAGGGATTAGTCTGTACTTCATATCGAACAGCATTAAGTCGACTAATATTTCCTTCAGGATCCAGAATGTGAAGAAGATATTCTGCAGTAGATTACACTGCTAACTGTGTACATTTGTGTAAAAAAATTTGCCCAGAATTAAGTTAGTTATTGGCATTTAAAAGCCTAACTTAACTTTGTTTACTGACATTCTCATTCTTCATACACACTTATAAAGATATTATGTAATTCAGGTTTGATTATGGACTGATTTAAGTTAGAGAACCATTGAAAGCCATAGAGTGATTGATATTTGTTTCGTCCTAGTTTGGGTCTCGTCAGAAGTATGCACCCATTAGGATTAGGACTAGGGACTTTCCGTCTATTAGCTGAGATAGCACTGTTGATATTAGACAGTTGGAGGAAATCGGTTGGAAGTGTTGGACCTAAGTTTTGTGATAGGTTTTTTAGCACTCAGCGGTCAACAAGACGTATCTACAACCTTGAAAGAATCCATGTCGAACCCATGTCACTGAATGAGGCAGCCAGAGATGTTACCACTGATATATTCAGCCTCACCATTGACTTCTCGTAGGACTGTATTGAATATATTGACTTCAAACCAGTGATTAACTTAATTAGCTCGTAGACCATAAACACACTGGGATTTGATGGCCACTGGCCAACCCATGAATTCCACTTTCTACCAATCTTTGACGTTAGCGCCATTATTACCCAAGGTAATTGGTGAGTGTTTATCCTGACACCCGACCTAGTAGACCCCAATGATCCGACTACTCACTGCAAGTCTCTAGTAGGCATCTGACTTAATGTCAAGACTAAGTTTGTAAATGTCTGTGACTCTCTTGACTGATTAGAGCTTGACTTCATGTCTTACTCCTGTTGAACAAGTAGAAGCAATCAGCAGAAAGCTTTCGACCTCGGTTTCGTGTTTATTTACAACTGTCAACAAGGTGTTGGATAAGATTGGTTACAGGGTTTCATCATGAGCTGAAATTGGTTAGAGAACCATCGGAAATCCTGCACGGAGTACTGGACAGCTGTTTCGTCAATCTAGTTTGGGGCACTTCACAGTACGAACCCACCGGGATTCGAAACCAGGACCTTCTGGTTACAAATCTAGCGAGCTCGTATACCATTAAGCCAGTGGGAACCGATACAATGGCCAGCCCATGAATTCCAAATTCTATCAATTCATGACATAGCGCAACTGCTAGCCAATGTCTTCGGTGGCGATTATTTATCCTCACACCTGCTGAATCCTACTGGTCATGACTTCCCACTAGAACCCCAGGTGACTACCTACCCGAATAGGGCAAGTCGCTAGTGAGCATCTCATTGATATTCAAGTGTTGGTTTGTAGGGATTTGATTGATTGGTTACAAGATTTCATCATGAGCTGACATAAGTTAGAGAAGCATTGGAAAACCTGGGAGTACTGGATATGTTTTCCCACTAACGACTGAAAACTCAAATGACACTGGTCAGTTAAAAATACTCTCTCTCTCTCTCTCTCTGTGTCTTCGTAACTTCACTTCAAAGCGGAATGCCTATAAGGTCAACTGTTCTTACTGGTGGTTGGTGGCAATGTATACAAATTTACGCATCGAGAATGGTAACAAGTTACGTAATCAAAGTGCACTAAGTGCACTGAGTAACTCTTACCTAATTTGGCGGATTCCGCTGATTATGACCTGTCACTAGAACTACTGGGAACTTCCTGCATACAGCCAGTCACAATTTTGCATCAGATTAATTATGAGGTATGATGGTCTGGAGAGATTTCGCTATGGAACAGAGCTGTAGAAGTTAATCAGCTATCCTGCTCCATTTTGGTATGGTCTGATATCCTCGAGATTCTTAAAAGGATATCTGGATATCCACCACCCTCCACACACACACACACACGCACACCATCGACTGTGTGATGCATGAAATGTCTAATTTGATTGACCGTTAATCCCACCTGTCTATGTATAAAAAAACTCCATTGCACTAGTTCAACAAATTATCCTTGATAACTGTTATGTTGCTGCTGCTGAGTGGTAGTAGTTTTCCCCGTCGCCAAGTTATTGCTATGTACTGGTCGAGAATTTAATAGTCCTGACGCAAGAAGGCATAAATCAGAAGACCACTAGGTTTGCGATGATACTTCTACTTTCCAACACACAAGGAGAATGCAAAAGTGGTATCACACCAAAGATAAGTAAGTCACACAAATTGTGAGAGCGAAATATATATGAATGTCCAGACAAGGGTGTGAACAAATCAATGGACAGTCTTAACATGAATGGCTAATTATAATGAAATATCGATCCATATATACATAGCAAAATATAGCAGACATGTCAACAACCACGCATATAACATGGATATCTGTCACCAAGCAACGGACTGTCAACAAACACTCATATTATATATAATATAAGGGGAATATACATTGTTAAAGGAGACAGGTTCATCAAAGTGAAATGGTCACAGACTAAGCGAGCAAACAGAAAGAGAGATCACCATACACACATATATATATATACATGTGTGGATACATATCAATAACATAAAACTGCATAGTGTAATAATAAAACAGTGTCCAAGGTTTTCATCTTTTTTCTTCGTCAATAAAAGGTTCGTTAAGAGCACAATATTCAGCAAGGAGACTCTTTTCAACAACGAATTTATTACCAAGCTGTACAATCGTATATTTATGGGTTTTTTTAAAGAAATTATATCTGGTGAGGGAATTAGGTCAAAGGTGTGAATACATGAAATAATAATAGTGTGAAATGCCATTCAAACTAAAATGTCTGTGATTATAATCATAGTTTAATGTCAAATGGCAAAACAATTAATGTCATATTTAGAATAATACATAAGGTGTATAGATTTTGGAAAGGGGTGCATAATTATAGGATTTGTAGGCGAATATAAAATGTTACATAACATGGTGTGAAATTTGATAAGATAGAATTCAATATTGTTAAAATAAAAATATAAAAATAGATAATTTTGGGTTTAGAATGACAAGTGGGTCAAGTGGAAAAGATTCAGAGTGAGAATAGTAATAATAATGATGATAAAAATAATCGTAGTAATAAGGGAAAGGTACATAGGATAACTAAATAAACAAAATAAATAAATGTCTATCCCTCTACGTCCAAGGCAGAAGTAGGAATTGTACGTACTTCTTTCTTGTACACAAAGGTGTGGCTGGCTTAAGGTCATGAATTGTCAAGGCCTCAGCTGTCCTTAGAAGTCTGTAACGAAGAAAATGCGGCCAGCAAGTTAGCATGGATTCTGTATATGATCTTGAAATCATTGTCAGGGTTGACAGAGTGACAGAAGTCGACCAGGTGTTCCAGAATAGAGCTTCGCACACACTTCCTTTCTCCCTTGTAAAACCATGCAGCTGGAATATGTTCTCTTATCCATGTGCAAAGCGTCTTCTGACTATGGCCAATGTTCCTTGCTCCACAAGAGCAGGTGAACTGGTAGATGCACATGTAGGCGGCCAGACGGGGAGGGGGTTTATGTTTTACATACGTTGATAACAACTTGCGGCTGGTGAACGTCATATGTAATTTTGCTGCAAAGAACGTCTTACTGACTGCTTTAGAGAGACGATTTTTGAGCATATCTGAAGCTTGATCACCTTTGAATTCCAATTTCATGAATAAGGTTTTCTTTGGAACTGGGTCGGTGACCAGCTCATACTGCTTATCTTTTGTGTTACTTTCAATAAATTGGTTCGGGTATCCGTTTCCTGAGAGTGTGGCTTTTAGGAAGTCAAGTCCTGAGTCATCGCAATCAGAACTACAAATTTTCCTTATCCTAAAGCACAGTGAATGAATTAGGCTCATTTTCCTGGAGATAGGCACGCAACTATAAAAATTAGCTAGTTGTCCGTTCCATGTACGTTTCCGGTGGATAGATCTTTT